TGTATATATATCTATCTATCTATATATATATATATATATATATATAGATGTATAAAGGAAAAGATAAATGTATACTTCTCATGGTTCATATTTACAATGAAATATTTAGCGCGAAAAGTTCAACGCATGACAAAATGGAAATAAGAAATCGTCTCTGTAGGTGAAGATACATATATAATTTTCTTGCATAGGGAAAGCACCGAGGTAGAGTAAAAAAAGGTAACTTTGGATGGTATTTTTGCTGAAGTCGAGGAGATAAAACTCCGGGCGGTGTTGAAGGCGTGTTTAATTAAAAGATTCCTCACTGGGCAATGAAGCAACCTACAAAGAAAGAGGCCAAACAGCATGATCATAATGTCCCTTCTTCTAGGCTATGTTTCAGACAAAAAGAAAGTTAAGTAGACTATTCTTTTGAGTAAGTTTACAAAACTATCTTTATGGTAGAGCTTAAAGCATAGGTTTTAGCATAGTGTATCGGTCATCAGGTTTAATGGAAACACAAACATTTCCCCACTAACGGTGAGACCTAATGCGGTCGGCGTTGAAGTCGCAATATTCCACCATCGGGATACCCGTCGCCTTCGTTTATCTAAACGAAGGCCTTGAGGTCTTAATAATACTATTACTAATATTCATAAACATCAGAAAACAAACTCAAAAACCAATGAAGATATGGCCGTAGTTCCAAAAGGACGTCAAGCAAGAAAATATAGTTATCTGTTATCGATCCTCCAATGCCGTTTCGGTACTCGTGACGCTTGCAATGAGTGAAGTTTGGCTGCTATTTTTGACCTCCTTGTAACCGACAGAAAGCACTCTTTCGTTATTTCTGTTTCACAAAAGCAGACAGCTACAGTAGAAAAAAAGTGGAAGAAGATGCAACGCCCCTATCAGGCCTTGCGTTTGTATTGTGTACGGCCAAATTTGATGTTCAGAATGTCAGGAGCCAAGTAATCCGCTCCTCTAATTAACGACGACTTATCCCACAGCTGGATCTTTGACAGTGTTTTTTAGTCTCGTCCTCCCTATACGAAGTAGCCTGACACACTGAGAGGAAGTTGCATTTTAAAAAAGGAGCTGGTTCGATTAAGGAAAGGAGGAAGAGGAAGAAAGGAGAAGAAAATGATTATGAAGTAGGAGGATGAGAAGGGGTAGAACCAGGAGCAAGAGGAGCAGGGGGAGCAGGAAGAGGAGAAGAATGAGCAGGAGCAAGACGATGAGAAGAGAGAGAAGCAGAAGCTGGAGGTTGAGGAGTCGAAGCCAGAGCAGAGATAGGAGGAAGAAGGGCAAAAGGAGGAGCAGAAACAGGAGGATAAAAGGGGGGATCGGGGGAGGGAGAAGAAGAAGAAGAAGAAGAAGAAGAAGAAGAAGAA